TACACGCATCTTTAATTCCACTTTTTGTGTATACAATATCACTGTTACTCAGATTTGATAGTGTTAATAATGGTAGTTAGTAGTTTGAACAAAGTTTTGGTTGAACAGCCAGACGAGCCATCAATAAAACGTTGTCTATATGAAGTTCAGGAATCCAGTGTAAACGGGCGAGGTCCGTATCCTTATCATTAATCATTATCAATCTAAATTATTTTAATACCGGAGTATGATTAGCCAATATTCCTTCTTTGGAAAAATTGCAGTTTCTTTCGGTAGGCGTGTAAATCTTGAAGTGTGGAATTAACATCAGGATTGAGGAACGCTGCCCTGTGGCGCTAGTAATTAGTCTGGAGAAAACAATGTTGCCTTTTATCAAATGGTCATCTTATATCCCTGTTAATAATGGTTTTAATTTAAAACTATAAGAGTCATTCGAGGTGGGTTCTTTTATTTCATTCAAACTTCTCTGGAATGTGATTTCAAGGTCATCTCCAAGGTCATCAAAGAAGACACTCTCACAAACACAGAATGAGATCAGCATCACATCTCAGGTGGACTAACAGAAAGAGGACCACTATCTTATGACCACCATATCAGATAAAGAAACCATATCGGGTTATGTCCTACAGCCTACCAACACTGCGCTCTAGCTCACTGAACTATCGCGCTGACAATCCCCCCCCCCTCATCCCCCATCCAAATGAAAGGTACCTTTCGTTTAGTATAAAGATGTTAGAAACTGCATCATACAGTGGTTTCTTCCTTTACGTACTCGTTAGTGATGACAGGGGCCTCAATAAAAATCGGCAAAAACATTAATACAAAGCATCCATTCATTCTCCAATCCATCTGCAAGAATGTACTGGCACACATTTCATTTACATACGTACAGGTACATACATACGTATAGACAGACTGCCTGACAGAAAGACAGACGGCGTGGCAGAAAGACAGACATTCAGACGGACAGACATATGTTCATTCATTTAGAATTGATCATCTATGGATAAATCACTGTTTTTACATTTACCAATTAGGAATTATCTCTTTTTTTTTCAGAGAAAATAAAGTTGTCAATTCAGTTTACATAACAGATACGCTGGTTAAAATCAACATTAGAGGGCACTAATGTGGACATTTGATAAGACAGGTTTGGTGTTATCGCAGGTAAAAAAAAAATTCAATCAATACACGTGGATTTTAAAATATTTGGTATGTGCCCGGACTCCAGAAAGACATGCACTTTAAACACTGTTGTAAAATATTACAATTGTTTTCGAATACTTCAACATGGCTTCGCAAAATGGTGTTCGGCCCATGTGTGCTAAAACGCATATTTTCTCCTTGAAATAATAGCATGTTCCAGGATGAAGTTTATAATAATTGATATGCATATTCGACGCAGCAAATAGACAAATATACAAACCTGACTTTGGGTATGATACGACGAACGTATCATCGTCTCTTACATTCATAGCTTCTATTGCAGCGAGGTGATCCTTGACATTTCCGATGAAATGATTAACATAGTACCTGCCATCATACTTCTTCATTTTCATAAAATGTCCTTTGTCGTCACGTACCTCCACCAGCTCTGCCATCTTGATATCTGCAGACTGTGGCAAACATATACTGATTAGGTGTAAGCCTCGTTTTAACCATAGTTTGTTTTGCATGATAACGAACGTTGACGCTGAACAGCTTAAAGTATACCGAAATGACCCTAGATATTTCAGGTCCATAGAGGATTGTACAGAAGACACAGTAACGAATTGTATTACAAATTTAGCGCAAGATATAGTAGAGCCAATGAATGAATCAAACTGCATCTTTCATCCCAAGAGTCGTCAATATTGTTAAGGACATACAATTTGAAGCCTAGGAGGCAACTGAGGAAAACCAAAAGCTGTGGGACTTAAAGTCCAACATCAGTGTCAACCATATATTTTTGAGAAAATTCTGCATTTGTATTAAGAACTTACTGCAGAAACAACAGGAAAATACCAACATGTTAACAAAATCTTGATCCAAACTTGAATTCAATAAAACCAGACCATAGGTTCCGGAATGGTAAGTGTCCTCTGCTTCATCCACGACAACCACCATGTAAATCGCCGTAAATCCAAGTATGTAATACCACTCTCAAATGCCAACTAGGTATATAACAACGAAACCAACAGGCAAACAAACCAGCATCAAACACGTCCACTTTCATATCGCATGAAGAGGTCAATGAAATCGCTATGAGGACCGCAAAATCTTCTCCATAATTTCTATCAAACCAAATCTTCTTGAAACCCAGCGTTATCAGTTTGTCCATCAGTTGGCGCAGTTTCCTGCACGAAAATCGTGATAAGTGGGTCAAGACCATGAATATCGACGGTACGTAAATACATTGTGTCAGAAGTATGATTTTTTTCTTCAAATTTTACACTATACGTTAAATGGATGAAATTCAAAACTTTTTTTTTCAAGATTATGTTGATCTTAATGATTCAGAAAATGGATATAAACTGCAGTGTAATATAATTTTTATATCACTTATCTCATCAAGTGAGAAAAATATGAAAACAACATCTGTTTGCATATCCATTCAGTGAACCATATCAACATTTAAAACCAAAGCATTTGTGTAGTATATAAGATATCAATGTTGTATTACATAACAACCACATCAATTTATTTTGCATGATTTGTTTGTTCTGGTTATTTGGTAAATTATGCAAGCATCAAAACGAAAAGCAAATTCGCCATTTTTGAAGAAAAATATCTATCTATCTATTAATCCATGTATTATCATTTCTTTCATTCATTGCATGAGATAGGCGATCTCTGAATCGGATGTTGAAACTTGACTAATGTCCTTTGAATAATATTATATTAAAACAAAGATTATTCTTTAAAACATAATGTGTAAAGAAAAGTGTACATGTTATTACTTCATTTGTTTATGTGAATCCTATACTGTCAACATATAGGTAAAGATATAAATGTGTGCACTATTAAAACCATATAGAGTATTTTTATTTCATATACTTTATCTTTGATATATTGTTTAGCTTTATTTCATAGAAAAGAGCGGATGTATTCTGAGTTATTTTTGAGTTATGTATTTATTTATCCCTTCAGTAACCAACATGAAGCACAAAATGAGGAAACTGCTGGCGTGATGCCCAACCACTGACGAACATAAATATCGATTGTAATAATGATAATGATAAAATGATACTGTATATAGAAGCGTTCAGAAAGCCTGCTTACAACAGTATATACATCATTATATAAACATTACCGTTACTGACTTATCTCTAGCCAACCCGTGAGTATATGCAGATGCATGTATTGCAGGTCCGATAATACCTTACAACGATTGCGTGATCCTGTCTTAGGGAATGTCGTGGAATATTTATTCACCTATTGGAGCGAGTTATTTGATCTTCTGAGAGAAAAAGAATTAAATGTACAAAGGAAACCGCCTGACAAATAACAAGTATCGAACATATTTCATTTCCTGTAAATTGTATACACAGGATATACAAATTTTAGGAAAAAATATTAAGTGGAAGTACAATAAAGAAACAACATGCATCACTTGTCTTAAAATGATTCTTTTAATAATTTTGAAAAATATTTAACTAATAACATCAAATTGTCAACATAATCATAATGAAAAAAAAATACATTGAAAATACTGGTTAAGTAGAAGGAGAATAATATCAAGTGTTCCGGAAGGGAAAGCGTCTCCTACTTCATCGTAGACACCTTCCATTTTAATCCTGGCCAATGGAAGTAAGTCATGTGATCAAGGTAGTTGTAGTTGAAATATCGCGTCAATAAACTAGGCTTTACCTTAGGTTTGTACAACAGACACACAAGAGAGTAACATACTAATTTAGAATTGGACACTGTTGAAAAATATATGCACTATACACCGATTTCTTTGTTCTAGGCGTCAGCAATGATCCTATGGCAGTAGAGTTTTGAAACATAGGAGATGTCTGAGGGGAAAAAATGATGCAGAGAGATAGCAAAATTCTAGGTAGGGATGCACTTATCCCAAAAAATTAAAAAAAATTATGATTGTCAATGATGGATGTTACAAGAACATCAACGTTACATTTGTAGGTTTGCTTATATGCTTGATTTATAGAACTTCCAACCGCCTAGATCGTCTTGTGGCGGTGTCTCCTCATAGTAGATAATGTCTACCTCACTGAACAACATGCGGGACGTCCGCCGCATGACATTCAGAGGAATAAGAATAAAACGTCTTGTGAGGACACAACCACGTAATAGCTTTTCAAAAACCTGACAAGAATGGGAAACGTCGGACTTGAACCTCGGATGTTCGTCTGGGGTTAGGAGGTCAACACTCTTATCGACTGAACTACATGTCATCATTGAAATGAATAGAAACAGTAGGTTACGGTCAATGTCAAGTACTACAGTCCACCAATTTAATCTTACCACTTACAATCTAAAGTTATCTTTATGTTGTTCTATATGATAAACTATCGATACGGGATGCACGGACACAATTTAATTTTTAAATTCTGATGTCAGGATTTCGCGTCGATCACGTGACTTAGTAGACATAGATGGATTCATTATGAAATTTTTGATTCACTAATTGGTTTATAAAAAAATAAGTGCAACTTTGAATATATGTACGTCGTAATTCTTCTTCGGTCTGAATTTGATGATAATAAAAAACAAAAACAAAACAAAAACAAAAAAACAAAGAAGGTAGGTTCTTTACAACAATCTTACACAATTTGCTTGAGAATTTATAATGCATTTGTAAGATACTGAAAATGTAGTTACTGAACGGTAACTTTCTGAACAACAAAACAGGATCTGCATAATAACACCGTAGATAAAATTCAACACGTAGGTTACAACACAACAGAATATCAATGCCTCGAAGTTGAGAATAAACTCCTTAATTACTTCATTTGTCGCCATCTGAAATCTCCCATATAAAGGTCTATTTCATACATCTACCCTTCAAATCTAAAAGTGAAAGTCGAATTTTTCATTCTTTCCATATAGACTTTGTCAAAATGTTCATTCTGGGCAACTGTAAAATAGTTCTTCCAATCTCCAATTTCACCTGTAAAAGATAAAAGACAAATGTCAATGTAGATGTGGCAAATAATATTCCGATCACATATCAGGGAATTATCACTCCCCAGAACCCTTGTTACTATCCGATGAATATTCAGACTGGTATCTCTTTCCAGTAAGAGGTATACGTAAATGTATTTTTTTGGGGAGGAGCAATCATTATTTGTTTTTACTGAAATTTACATAATTATTTGTAGATGGTGAAACTTACATTTGGATGTGATGAAATTAAAAGCATTATTTGATTTTTTTTATTTACGTCATTTTTTGCATATTTGGTGAAATTCTCGTACGTTATTATCATTTTCCAAATTATTGATACAACTATGAATTGAATGATGTCTGCATATTGCATAAGACATCCACTCATAAAACGTCCGTGCAGTTATTGTTATTGTCACATACGCTTTACACATATTTGTGGCCACAGAACGGAAGAATGACCGAAAGTATCCATAGATAATTTAGAAGTCTACCCCATATGTATGAATTCATTATGCAGTGATTATTAGTTTTAGCTGAGTTATCGAATCAATAGATTGCTAGAGAACGCCCCTCCCTCAAAAAAAAAAAAAAAAAAAAAACAAAAAACAAAACAAAAACAAACCAAAAAAAAGGTGGGGGGACACAAGAAAGGTTTAAACGGGGACTTCTGAAAAAGTAAATGGTGCATGTGTTCCGGAAGAGTAAGCGTCTTCTGCTTTATCGACAATGAAATAGATTTGAGGCTAAGATGAGGTATATAAATCCCTAATCCGAATGTCATTAAATGTGCCCTAACAGGTAGTTCACATGTAGAACAAACACCTTTTTTCGTGTATGTGTGTGTGTGTGTTTTTTTTTCTTTTTTTTTTTATCTTGGAGTATTTGCAGAAAAGGAAATTCCGGGAAATGTTCACTGTTCTTCTTTATTCATGTGTGTGTTTTGTTTGTTTAGTATGACGCAAATTTCAGCGCGAAAACTGTGGCATCGTCGATCGGTATGGGTAGGTCATTGTTTACAGAAGAGGATACGAATATCTATGGTGGTGACTAATCTCAGATTGAATTTTACCATTTGGTGAAATTTTACTTCATTAAAATTAAATGCTCTCTCGGGCGAACTTCTGTTTCCAGAGTTCATCTTTTCTCTTGTTGGGGCCAAAACCAAATTGTAATTTTAAAAAAACTATCCACACATTTTTGTCTTATTGTCTTCTGTTTGATAAAGATATATTAAAGACCCTTTGAACTAGGAAATATATCGAGACGTTAGTGAACAACAGTAAGAAAAGGAGAAACTATTATGTTGATTCTTTATCCTGGTGCTATAATTATTTTGACTTGATCAATATTCTGGATTACTAGCAGTACCTCACGAGGAACTTAAGGTGAAGACCAGGCCATATCTTTCAGATCTCTTTATTTTCTATTTTTTTTTTAATCACGGATCAGTTGGTCGTTCTATCATCTCATGATTCATTGCATTTTTGGGAAGCTGAGATCCTAGCGTTTTCCAGTAACGCTGCAATATCAATTAATGATTTTCGCGCAAGATGTCGTCAACTGACAAACTCATATCACAGAGTTTCAATAGATGCATGTTGATGGAAATTATTGGGAATGTTTACCGTCGTCACTATGGTTTTATCAAGAGATATTCTATTTCTTTGTGCAATATAAAGCCAGACGTGTTTGTAGCTCATTAGTATAACTGAGTATACCTTGTTCCCGCTTGGGAAAGTGACACAACTGACTTTGATTGAACAATATTTACATGGCGGATTTCGTTGCTAATGCAGGAGACGCTTACCTTATCGTAACACCTGGTCCTGTACTCATTGTACTCTTCAGTAGTCTCTGTGTGAATCTTTATTTTGTTTTTATGTTTCCCTATTTTAATCGAAATTGTTCGGAATGTTATTCCATTATAATGTCGACATTTTATTTCTTTATTATTATTTTTTTTTTGGTATAATTAAACTCCTCTTGTTGAACAAATGATTGTTTGTTTTGTTGGGCTGGTGTTGTGTTCTTGTGACAATAAAGTCTCCACGTAATTTTGTTCCATACCCTTTTTCTCAGTGCAGTAATATTATTATGACCAAAAATGGTAAATCTATTGTCATGTGTCCTTTGATAATATTGTTTTTCTTTTTTACATCTGGTTGTAACGATGGAACTTTTAAATAATCGAAACCACTCACCAATTATCCCATTTTATTAAAATGTCAACCCTTTTGAAAGTTATAAATGATCTCATAAGTCTATTGTAAGTACATTATATATGTGTTAAATCATTTCCCCCATATTTTCCAATGAGGCGCATGTGCTATGTTTATCACTTACGCTATACCTTACCTTTGTTACATTTATCGGACAACGTTTTTTCCCCTTCCTTAATCAAAATCTATGTGTGTACTCCTTGACCAGGGTAGTATTGATAAAAAAGATAAGATATCACTTGCCAGTGATCAAACACATTGCGTATATCTTAATTCAATCATATTCATAGTCAGCGGCATCTACGTATAAGTTTACCGTATAGAGTGTCAATCATGGAGATATATAATATCACATGAGTTTTGTTTATGTTTAAGCATGCATTTCGGATTGTTACTAGCCTGAACGACATGATCCGTCTTGTTCATGTTGGTACACATAGAGCGGAAGTAAAGAATGAGTCATAAAATATATATGAATAAAATTACTACATTTGAAATCTGCATCTGTATACTTATGTGTCTCTGTATATGTGTATCTATATACTTATGTGTCTCTGTATACTTATGTGTATCTATATACTTATGTGTATCTATATACTTATGTGTCTCTGTATACTTATGTGTCTCTGTATACCTATGTGTCTCTGTATACTTATGTGTCTCTGTATACTTATGTGTCTCTGTATATGTGTATCTATATACTTATGTGTCTCTGTATACTTATGTGTCTCTGTATATGTGTATCTATATACTTATGTGTCTCTGTATATGTGTATCTATATACTTATGTGTCTCTGTATACTTATGTGTCTCTGTATACCTATGTGTCTCTGTATACCTATGTGTCTCTGTATACTTATGTGTCTCTGTATACTTATGTGTCTCTGTATATGTGTATCTATATACTTATGTGTCTCTGTATACTTATGTGTCTCTGTATATGTGTATCTATATACTTATGTGTCTCTGTATATGTGTATCTATATACTTATGTGTCTCTGTATACTTATGTGTCTCTGTATACCTATGTGTCTCTGTATACTTATGTGTCTCTGTATACTTATGTGTCTATATATATGTGTCTCTATATACTTATGTGTCTCTGTATACTTATGTGTCTCTGTATACCTATGTGTCTCTGTATACTTATGTGTCTCTGTATACCTATATGTCTCTGTATACTTATGTATATCTGTAGACTTATGTGTCTCTGTATACCTATATGTCTCTGTATACTTATGTATATCTGTATATTTATGTGTCTCTGTATACTTATGTGTATCTATATACTTATGTGTCTGTATCTTCATGTGTTTCAGTATACATAACCGTATCTTTATACTTATGTGTCTCTGTATACCTATGTGTATCTGTACACCTATGTGTCTCCGTATTCTTATGTGTCTCTATATACCTATATGTCTCTGTATACTTATGTGTATCTATATACTTATGTGTCTCTGTATACTTATGTGTATCTATATACTTATGTGTCCCTGTATACCTATGTGTCTCTGTATACTTATGTGTCTCTGTATACTTATGTGTCTCTGTATACCTATTTGTCTGTATACTTATGTGTCTCTGTATACCTATGTGTCTCTGTATACTTATGTGTATCTATATACTTATGTGTCTCTGTATACTTATGTGTTTCAGTATACATAACTGTATTTATATACTTATGTGTCTCTGTATATTTATGTGTCTCTGTATACCTATGTCTCTGTATACTTATGTGTCTCTGTATACCTATATGTCTCTGTATACTTATGTATATCTGTAGACTTATGTGTCTCTGTATACCTATATGTCTCTATATACTTATGTATATCTATATATTTATGTGTCTCTGTATACTTATGTGTATCTATATACTTATGTGTCTGTATATTCATGTGTTTCAGTATACATATGTGTATCTTTATACTTATGTGTCTCTGTATAACTATGTGTATCTGTACACCTATGTGTCTCTGTACACCTATGTGTCTCTGTACACCTATGTGTCTCTGTATTCTTATGTGTCTCTGTATACCTATATGTCTCTGTATACTTGTGTATATTTGTAGACTTATGTGTCTCTGTATACCTATGTGTCTCTGTATACTTATGTATATCTGTATATTTATTTGGTTCTGTATACTTATGTGTCTTTGTATACCTATATGTCTCTGTATACTTATATATATCTGTATACTTATGTGTCTCTGTATACTTATGTGTATCTGTATACTTATGTATATGTGTATATTTATGTGTCTCTGTATAGCTATATGTCTCTGTATATTTGTGTGTCTCTGTATACGTATGCATCTCTGGATACTTGTGTGTCTCTGTATACGTATGCATCTCTGGATACTTATGTGTCTCTGTATATCTATGTGTCTCTGTATACTTATATGTTTTTTATGTGTCTGTATACTTATGTTTATCTATACACTAATGTGTAATATAACATACAGGTACACAGATGAGTATTTCTATGCTGATTACATGTAATTGATCTGGCTGACCTATAAACGAGTAATCATTTAATTAACAACACGTGACTTAAGTTACACGTCCGTAAAAATTTCCTACCTTTCCTGTAGATTGGAAGTGTTTTATTGTTGGTGTGTTTTTTCCATTGTTCCGATGGTGTAAAGTTTTTTGTAGCCTTCTCTGCCATATTTCGGAATGTACATTTATCAGTCACCGTTTCCAAGAACTCTGTGTCAGAGGAAGTCCCAAGGAATGAATCTAACTTTCGTACGTGTAGCATTAGATCCTGAAACAAGTTATCTCACATTTTATCAATATCTAGGTTATACTTGAAAGCTGTTGATATCAATAATCTTAATTGACATTACGAGGTGTGCAAATTTCCTCGTCTCTCCTCTGACATTTACCCGTGTGTTTCCTGATCACAACAAAGTTTATCTATTTCAAAATAGGATGCAATGCCTGAATATAAATAGGATGATAAACAAAAGAATGTGTTTGTATTTCATAATAAAAATCACCCAAAATACTGTCATATCAATGAAATGACGCCGTAAATTCTTAATGAGAAAAAAAGCAAGGATTAAAGGGTAACTGATAAAAATATTGCAGAAACAATGAGATGTTTCGAAATGGTAAGCGTTTTTGTTTTTGTTTTTTTGTTTTGTTTTTTTTACTTTACTGACGCTTTCGGCTATAACGATTAAGGAAAAACGAAAACCTTGATCACAGAGCGATGTATACGCCAACCCTCTCTGCATTCGCGGATAGAAGGAATTTATCATAATTTCTCCCATTAATGTAATGAGTCAAGCGTTACAGAATCAATCACAGTGATTTTTGTAATGAGGTAAGCTGAAAGCAACATCCCTGACATATGTTTTTACATATCGCCCTCAATCCAATAGTCAAGGGCCTATTCACAGCACGATTTTCGTGCAAGGAGTTGTGGGCTGACGAACAAGCTCGTTACACAGAGTATCAAAAGATAAAGTTGATGAAAATTATGGGAATGTTTTACGGTCGTTATAGTGACCTTATGACGACATGAAGCTAAACGTGTTTGATGCTCGTTAGATAACCTGTTGCATACATTGTTCTCATTTGACATTTTTTTTTTTATTTGACAAAGATTTACATAGCGAGTAGATGATGCGGAAAACGATCATTCTTCCGGAACACCTGGTCTTCTAAGCCATAAAAATGTTTAAGGAGTTTCCGTGTAAATCTTTCTTTTGTTCATATTCTGCTCTTTGATCTTTGATAATAATTATGATTACATGTTGATATTACTTGGGATTGTGCATGGTTATCTGTCACTTCCATTAAAAAATAGGGCAAAAGACACGCAAGTGAATGTCAGCTTTCAATAAAAATCAGAATTAGGTACATAGTAATTCAATCGTATCTTAATGCAATTTCGTTCTTCCTGGACTCGACAGTGATGCTAAGAACCTCAATTTTGAAACACTCATTGAAGATTGAAGAAAATCAAGAGTATTCGAAAGAAACGTCAAAATCTAGATTGTTAGATGCCCTAGCCCAATAATTAAATCAATTTCTTAATTTTCATATTTGATTAAATAAGTACAACATCAAGCTCATGTGTATATTCTAAACCGTGTCACTTTTCGAATGAATAAAAACTTTGGAAGCACTTTACGGCGAACCTTGCATATTGGTAGTCTTCCTATTGCAATCTCGAGTATTGTCTGAAAGAACAACATCTTTTGATACAATTTTAGAATTATATACATTAGAGTCAAACAATAAATAACATTGTATTATAAAGCTGTTTCCTCCTACTCGTCAATGGTCCTAATGACCTTAGTTTTGTAATCAAAAAGACGATTTTTTTTATAAATATCGATAAAACTGACCTGTTTCATGTCCTCGTAGATGAGATACTGTATGTTGTTTCCCTTGTGTTCTCGTCTCACTTTATCCCAACTCTGCATGTAGTCAAACCAGGAACCGTAGAAAACTGGGATAAGAAAAACAAGGACATAGTTATCAAGATCCCCCGCCGTGTTCATTGGTAAAATGTTTACATTTAAAGTGAGTGACATGGAACACTGGAAAAGAAATATGCACAGAATTCGGCGATAATCAAAGTCAAGTCTACAAGTCTTATCATAACCCATTCGTTCCTTCAAAAGATATTAATCAGAATAATCTTATCAATTTTTAATAAATTGATGTTCAATCTGATGTAACACAAATTCCAAAAAGTGTGATATTTTTAAACAAAAACATAAGGTTCATTACCTATATCATTCGCCGATTTTCTCTTTATTCCAGCAAAAATCATTTTAAAAGATGTCTTTGTATTATAGCGCTTAATCATGCAATATAAATGTTAATTGATTTCATGTATGTTCTGAATTTTCCAATCTCGTTTTTTTTTTCTAATGCAATTTTGTATACATATATTTAGTACTTTAAATGACATTATTTAAATGTTTCATTCAGAATTATAATTCATCGAACAATAAGAAATGTATTGTGGAAAACACACAAGTAAATCTGAGTTAAAATATAAGTAGAAAAGACAGCTTAAATGAAACAGTATACAATTAATTGACTTGTCATATTAATTTCCTGAGTTTAAAACGTATATCGTCAAAAAAATATATACATCCCATCTAAAACGGAAATTGAAGGACTTGGCGAGGTGTTTCTTATTTTTCTAAATTTTCATAGTTGTCTATTTGGTTTGATACATATTTCTCATGAAATAGTATCCCGTGTTGTTCACAACCTTAAATTATACAGCAAAATAACTGAAAACTCTCAAAACTATTATCCTTTATTTTCAGTTCTTCGGTATCTTCAGGAGTAACGAATGGAATACATTTTACTGAGAATAACTGACAAGATTTTAAAAATAAGATTATTCTGTATTGATCTCTTTCATTAATATCCTTGCTCCATCGATAACGTTTGTACTATCTCATACTATTGATATATCTGATTTCTACTTCTAATGCTTATTTGGGTGGATTTTAATTATAATTAAAACATTATATTAAACGGTGATATTCACCGTGTCTTCAAGAATGCAAATAAGATAAAAATGTGATAGACACTCTAGGAGGACTTCAAGCCACAGAAGTTTCCATAACCTATAGGTACGTTTTTATTCATTCTTATAGTAGCGCAGTTCAGAGCAAAAAAGGCACACAAGTGAATTACCCCTTTTCATACAAAAAGACTTAAACACATTATGGACAAATAATGAATGAAAGTGCATCATATATACATGAATATGCGCATCGTGAAACTACCAGGAAATTAGGAAATTTTGATCAGTTCTTCTCATCAATCTCATAAACTCTTGTCATCACTGTCATCACTCCTAGAAAATTGAAGCAGCTGTATGAATTTCTTATTGTATTGACTTGGCGTTATTCACTTTTGTACCTTTTGTGCAATCTCCAAGAATGGTCTTCAGGAGATGCAAGTTTATGATACGTAAGTGGTCGATAGTAAAATACGACAAGGTTTTATGAGTTTCGATAGTTTATGAACTGCCTAGGTGTTGATATTGAATTAACGTTTAATTATTTTGCGTGTCAGGTGTTTCTATTCATGCTTTAGAGTTTTTTTTACTTCATACAGAACTTTGTTAAAACTCTCTTATATAGAACTACATGAACTTTACAGTATATACCTAAAACTTCTGGCCTTTCGGGAAGTGTTCAAATAATAGGCATGCTTTTCACTAGATAGTGAAAACCACATACAAAGTGGTGATATTAGAAACCTCCTTCGAAAATTAAAAAAAAATTATCTTCAATTTTTTTTATTCTTTTTTTCTTTTCCTTACTTCTTTTTATGTGTATTTTTTTCTTGACTTGAAGTACTTACTTCTGCCATCCATGAACAATTCGTAAAGACTCTCCCAAGTTATTTTGATTATAGTTTCCATGTATGCAGTATCCCATTTCATTGAGAAGATTTGTAGCGATGTGAAGACATCCTTTGGGTTCCGAAATATTGCAACAACCTTTCCTTTCCCTTCTTTAACTTGTTTAGGCAGAAAGTCAAAAGTCATGTGAGTCGCAAATACTCTTGGGGATGGGAGTTTATCAAGTGTTTCTACATCAGAGTAGTCTAAGAACATTGGCGATCCTCTGTAGATGATCTCCTTTGTACGAAGCATGCTGACTATGGTATACACCCAATGTGTTCCTAAAATAACAAAATATATGTCTTTTTAACCCTAATTGTAGTCACAATAAACAAAGACGAAGCCTCAGAGATACAAAGAGAGAATGTTGCCAATTTAGATTTTGTTGGCAGAATAAATTACTGTTTTTTTCTAAGGGTTATGATATATATCCTTTTACGTGTTTAAGTACCATAACATGGAACAGAATACTTTTAATTTTTATTGTAAGGTTTACATTTTTCATTGCTGAATTTTCTAATCCAATTGTCGCGGTATTTGTTCACCAAGTGTGGAAGAGCTAATAGAATTCGTCACGAATGTTGTCACGTGACATTGCCTAATCATGTTTTTATAATATTCTCACATGACATAATGAATATCATTGGGTTCTAGTGATCATTTTCTTTCTAAATATGTGTGGCCATGGAATAGTGAGACAATAGATAGATACGCTAGCGGAGAACCAGTTGAATATTCAAATAATAGCGAGGGAGAAACTGCAGCCGGTGAATAAAGAATTTGGAAAGAATCGTGTGTTATATTCTTACGGGATTAATGATGTGGTCGTGCTTGTATTTGTTGTGTGTTCCTGGATGGTCGGAATGATGACCACATCTACTGATGTAGGTAATGGCCGACCGTGCGGAAAGGAGAGAAGCGTGATTAGACTTCACATGATGTACTTAATTGTTGATATTACTGTAGGTAACACAGGCATTTGAAACAGACGAAACGTATCACCGGCATGTACTTCTTTGTTTTTATACACATTTTTGTATGATTTCATTCCACGGAAATGACCTTGGTTTTGTTCTAACGTGGCAGTTCAGAGCAAATGTAAATACTTCCATTTCATATGAGATTTATGAATCACAATTTACCATACCTCACCAAAACTTTGTTAAAATGAAACATCACAAGATTCTTTGGCTTTTTTATCAAACATATATCAGATTGAATCTAATGTAAAGCTATCCACATTTATATTGTAAATGTGCTTATGCGGACAATTCCAGTGAAAAAACCTTGAAAATCAGCATATCAGTTGCTTGTTTAACCTAAAAATTGTATATCATCACCTGCTCTGTTTGTCTGTCTTTCTGTCCGTCTGTCTGTCAATTCATAAAAACAGCTTTGTGGAAACAACTTTAAAACTAGACAGACAGATGGACGAAACGAATAGTCGATGTACGAACCTGACTTTGGGTACGTGAGTATGAATGTGTCATCGTCTCTTACACTCATAGCATCTATTGCAGCAAGGTGATCCTTGACATTTCCAATGAAATTAGTCACGTAGTACCTGCCATCATACTTCTTCATTTTTATAAAGTTTCCTTTGTCGTCTCGAACATCTACAACCTCCGCCATATTGAGAGCAACACACGGATTTGTAGTTGTTACTTTATCTGTGTCCTTTACCTTGCTGGTTGTGTATGGTGATTCAGTGAGTCGGTAGAGAACGATTGTACAGAAGGTAACCAATTATAAAGCACCTGTCAGTACAACTTTGAGAACCAATTAAAAAACAAACCAACAAAATAGAAACACTAAAGCTAAGAAAAAATAATTGAAATGCGGCATACAACTGTTTGGCCATTGTATGGGTCGTCAGTGAGGCCAACGGCCTGTTTACTTGGAGCTCAGGTTGCCATCGAGGAATATCCTAAATTGTCAGTCCCAGATTGGGAGGTACATTAACCCAGAACCTCAATAAATTTTCAATTTTTGCGATTTATTCAATATTTTCACCTTGTTCTCATTTGGAAGCATGACATTACTTACTGGAATTGAACAAGATTGATACTTTGGGAGTCATACTTCAAAAGTAGAATACACGCATATCCTTCCGGAGCACATGGTCTTTGCCTAATGGCACATTTTACTGGTGGGCACTCTTTTTGAACATTATTCAGTTTATGTTTTGCCGTTATTAAGTCGAATTTGAGTCACTTGAAAAATTAGTATTTTTTTATCGTGGTATTTTACATAATTTTGTTGCTGAACTTAATGTTTCACCAATGAAGGAATATTCATATAGTGTTGATATATATTGCTACACATATGTCTAAAGCAAAAAAATACATTAAGGTATGATATTTAATTGTGGTAGACATGGGCCACCATAAATATGACTCACGTAGTGATGTGAAAATTCGGCGGTTGGTTTGGACTTTAAATTATTCTACTGCACGTTATATTACAATGTTAGATTTATCTACACTGTCAAGTACTTTTTACCTGACCTTTGACCTGGATGCCTTCGAATCACGCTGATCTGATAAAGGCGCTATCTTTAATAGAGCCGCTGTTATGAGTTTACATACTTGTTTTGTTTGTTTGTTTGTTTTTTTTTTTTTAAAGCCTCTTACTCAAAATTCAAACTTTAATATATCGATATGTTGATACCGACAGTGACAGCCATAATTGGTGACTACACTGTCCTACACAGACCAAATCACTATAAATTCTGTACTGTGCATTCAGATTTTCTACAATTTGGTATATTGATCACATAAAGGCATACATGAATTTATATATATATTTCTTTAATATTATTTTCTGTAATATTACCTGAATGAGTAACTTGATTTTGATATGTACTAGAATATATGTGTAGAACGATGCTTTGTACTGATAGTTATATAAAACGTTAAAATAGAAAGTTTATGTCAATTTCTACTGTAACATGTATAACTGTTTAATGGATTGACCAAGATCTACATGGTGGTTTGTGTCGTCGATGAAGCAGAAGACGCTTACTCTTACGGAACACTTGATCTTACTATCACTGTACTTTTTAAGGAACCACTGATATCAGCAAATTGTTGCTTTCGTTCTTTCAGACAAAGTATCATTTTGATTGAATCGATTGATCAATATCATTTAAAGCGACATATTTTCAGTTTTGCGAAAATGGGTATATATTTTTAGATAAATCTGATACATTTAGATAATTTTTGAAAACAATCGAATCAAGTGTAGCTTTGATACATATCCATATGGCAAATTATAGAAAAGTTCTGATACACTGATTTTTTTAAAAAAACTTTTACAAATATTTACACAAGAATGTACCAAAGACATAGAAGTGAAGAGGGCTTTTTTCAAAATTTAGAGTGAGATACAGTAGAGCAAAAGAAAAGTTCAAATGTCAAAAGGTCAAAGTTCATATTATCCTCAACATAATCAATGTTTTTATGGTGGTGAATGTGCCTTTAGATATGCATTACGTGTATCATCAACACTTCACTCTTTAGTGGATCAAAAGGATACTTTGTTACACAAAACAGGTGCTAATCCATCAGTGCATGAAGTTTAGTCACATATTTAAATTCGCGCATAAGCATACACGTAAATTGCAGAAAAACTATTCTTAGTATCTAAATATCTCTCGCTAAAAGGTGTTAACCGTAAAATCCTAAACTGTTATTTTCAAATTTGCAAACGCGTATTAGGCTCACATAGGTTAACATTTTTTTCACATGAAAATATTTTATCTGGCGGCTATATTTATCCTACAACGAAACCAACATGGACAGTTTTCCACCAAGCTGTATGATCAGCTGATGATTTCAATTTCCCTATTGTGAATTTTCCATTTCTGGATAGCAACATCGCTGCGTCCTCTACCTATGCTGTTTACATATTGCAGTTGATTTGATAATCAAGGGGTGTTCCCATTATCACGATTTTTATGCAAGAAGACGTCAATTGACGAACAAACTCGTATTACATGGTTTCATAAGATGCAAGTTGGAGAAAGTTATGGACACGTTTTACGGTCGTCAAAACAAATAATTACATTAACGTTATGATATTTTTGTGGTAGATATGGGCCACCATAAATATGACTCACGCAGTTATATGAAAATTCGGCGGTTGGTTTGGACTTTAAAATATTCTACTGCACGTTATATTCACATCTAGATTAATGTACACTGTAAAGTACTTTTTACCTGACCTCTGACCCTGACCGTTGTTTTATATCTTGTTCTCATTTGAGTCATTATTTATTTGGATTGACCAAGATTTTCATGGCAGGTGTCGTCGATGAAAAGAAGACGCTTAATCTTTCGGAACACCTGATCTTATTGTCCTTGTACTTTTTTTTAGAGTCTCGGTGTAAATCTTTCTTTTGTTCATGTTTTACCATCATTTTATCATATTTGAGTTTGGATTATAATTATGTTGACAAGTTGGTAAATTACAATTTGTACAGTATCTTATGAAATCCGGAAAATCGCAAGGGAAATAACTCTTACTGCTCTAACTCAGGATCATTCACCGAACCACACAATAACTACAACAACACATAGTTGTTATCAAGTTTAAAGCTGTAAATAGAGATAAGATTAATCTTTAACCATGATTTGAGGACGCAACGAACATCAAAAAATTTGTGCGTAGGAAATTATAGATTGCTATCGACACAATAACGTCATACATGTATATAAACTCGCTAACCTAAGGCATGTTATGTCATAAAAATAGATTTTTGTATGTTTTGCTGTTAAAAACATAATGGAGAACGCGGCAGTAAAAAAAAAGAAATTTAATGCACTTCAGTTCATTTAAAATCTTATTCAAAGCTTAAATATTTCTTTCGTTGAATTCAAGACAGTTCAACGTTAATTTTTTTTTTTTTTACATAACGCCGACAGGATTACAGCGGAAACAGTGTGTTGCCATTTCGTCACACCAATTTCTATTTAAGTGTACTGAAGTATAGCAGAACCGAACAGTCGTGTCAATTCATTACAATCTCGAGCACTCTGTACAAATACACTTCATGTTGATTGTTCGTCTGGTGAAGATGACAGCGAGGTCACCGAAATCATTAGGGCTTTTCACCATTTGGTGAAAAGACCTATTGTTTTTGTTCGGTTTCTTCTTATTATTATTATTCTTATTATTATTCTTCCAATTTTGTGGGTTCGTAATCTTTTAAATTGTAAAAGCTAGAAATACAGTTTATTCATTTATTTGTAGATACGTATATGAACTTGTCGATGCCGATATTTTAAGTAGGTCAAAAATTCAATATGGCCGCCATGACGTCATAAGTTAAAAACTTTAAAATGTCAATATCTCGAAAACCTTTCGTTATACAGAGTTTGTGCAATTATATTATTTGTAGAGAATTTCCTTATCTAATTTTTTGTCCGACATATTATCAGTAAATATGTCAAATAAAAAAGCTCGCTGTTGGGTAAAATTTTCAAAAATTTAACAAATTTTTAAAATTTTTTTCAATTTTGAACTTTTTAAAATTTTTCCTCTTCAGATCGATGCAGCACGTCCTTCCGATGAATTTAGTGTTTTCAGTTCTTCTGAAACCTTAGCCATTTCCGCTGTACGCCATTTTGAAAATTTCCTTTGATCTTTTAAAAATGCCGACAAATAGGAAAAACTCGTTCTAGATCAATATTGATGGGCTATATTTTATCAAATTGTTACTGAAAAGATTTCCCTTAGATATCTTCTACCATTTAGTGACATATTCAAATTCATCGGAAAAACAAAATGGCCGCCATGACGTCATATCCGATTTTACCTAAAATGCCATAACTCAAGAACTGTTTCAGCTAGTGATCTCAGTTTTAATCATGTTATGTAAAATAATAAGAAAACACTTTTCACAAGAAAAAAACTGGGATCAAAGGTCAACTTCCGGTCTTCGGTAGGGGTCAAAGTTCAAAAGTGTTATTTTGAGATACCAACTTTGACAAACTTCTTCTCAAGTTTTGCAAAGCCTTGAGTCTTGATATTTCCTGTGTAAGATGTCTGATCAATTATCTATCGGGTTTGTTAATATAAATGACCTTGACCCACTTTCAAGGTCACAGGAGTCAATTATGTAAAAATAGTTAAATGGTAATTTCTCCTTTGTTAAGCTGCCCAAAGTCTTCAACTTTGGACATAAATATTCTGTATACATTTCCTGTCGAATGATATAAGAGAAACGTACCTCAAATTCAACTTCCGGTTTGCGGTAGGGGGTCAAAGTTGAAAAATGCTATTAAGGGTACCAATCTTTGAAAAACTTCTTCTCAAGTTCTGGAAGACCTAGAGGCTTGATATTTCATGTACAAGAAGGATATGTAACTGGCAACAAAGTTTGATAATATAAATGACCTTGACCCACTTTCAAGGTCACAGATGTCAATTAACTAAAAATCGTTAAATGAAAGTTTCTCAATTTCTAGAAGGCATACAATGATGAAAATTGATTATAAACCTTCTGTGGAGACTTCCTAGTGATTGTCATAAGGAAAACTTCCCTCAAAATGTCGACTTCCGTTTTCCCAAAGGTGTCAAAGTTCAAATATACAAAATAGGGTACCAGTGTTCAACAATCTTCTTGTCAA